CACTTGGGAATAGGACTCCCAGCAGAAGGAGCAGGACACTGACGCTAGGAACATCCCCTAAGTTCTCATTTTAAAGAAGCTGTTTAAATACATTTTTTTTTTCCTCAATCTGGATCTTAGGCTAATTTTGACCCGCTGGCCCAAGCGTGATCTTCGTTCACCCTGCAAGGGAGCGAAGCGGACAGAGAGCAAAGAGTCCCCAGGAATGGGGAAATCTGAGGCTGGGAGGAGCCGAGCGCGCCCCAGGCTCAGCTTTGCTCTGATAAGTTTATCGGGGCTGCCGGCTGCTAACTGTCAGCCGGCAAAGCGGCCTGTTAGGGAGGAGGAACCGCTCCCAGGGCAAGATAGGAGAACCCGGGCCTTATCGGAGCGCCTGGGCCAGAGAGGGAGCTGGAGAGCGGGCGCTTTCCAACCACTTCGGCTGACGACAGATTTTTTTTCCCCTCCCCCCCCGCCGCTCGGAGCGGGAAGAGCAGCGAGCCCCGATCCATGCAAATAAGCGTGGTAATTGCAACATGAAAGTTGCAAATGCGTGTGCGGAGCTCCGGGGAATGCACGGCAAGCTTCTCCCAGGAAAACTGCCCGGAGGGGACAGGCAGATTGACAGCAAACAGTTCAGATGTGTGTTGAGCAAGCGACCCCTCTTGGGCACCCCGGCTGTCTCATCTAGATTTGGGAGGACAAACTTAACCCGTCAGAATAACACTAATCACTGGGCTTTTGCATGCAGATAATTGCCTGCTTTCCTTCCCCCCCCCTTTTTTTTTTCTTAAGAACAGTCAATAAAACAAGCAAATAGAAGAGGAAATACCAAACACCCTTCACAGCATTAACCAAATCAATAGGGCAGCCTTAAACAAATCAATAGAGCTGAAGATCAGAGAGGCTCTCTGGTGTTCGGATGAGCTCTGTGCCCCACACGCCACAGGGAGCAGGATGAGCAATTCCTGCCCAACACGTCCTCCGCTCGGCCCTTTGCTGAGGATGGTGGTGTAACAGGATAGAAATGGCACCGTCAGCTCGGACACACTGTGTTTCTGCAGTTCAAATTACCCTAGTGTTGGACTCATTTAGCATCAGGGCATATAGGCAGCCCTCACCCTGCTCAGGCCCATCCTTGGGTCTTTGGCTGCTTTCAGAGGGGTGATTTGTTGAAGGATTTTGCTGAGATCTGACCCAAGTGCCTGTCCCAACCCTAAGCCGAGACCAACTGTTCACAGCTGGCTGCGGATGCTGCCCAAGCGCCCCAAGCTCTATGAGGTGGGAACCCTCCAGCATCAGCGATCTCCAATGTGAGCCCATCATCCAAAGGCTCCTTTTTCACATGTAAAATACCTAGGGAGTGATCCAGTCCCTCCTAAAGCACGTATCTAAAATAGGACAGATAACTCACGCCTTTAAAGCACCTACTTCTCCCATCAACCAAAAAGGGGGCCTCGTATGAGCTGTGGGTATGAAGACACCCAAGGCTACCTGAGATGATTCACACCTGCAGTTCCTGCACCACCCTCAGTCAGATTTCACACAGCGCTTCCTGCTCCAGCCCATCACCTACTGCTCTCCAGGCCATGAGCAACCTCCGAGTCATTTAATCCCTCCATGCATCAAAGGTTCCTGCAAGTTTTAAGCACAACATCCCCATTCAGCATTGGCCAATGCAATTCCGAGGTTCAACAATTCCTCTTAAAAAAAAAAAAAAAAAAAAAAACCCTACCCCATTGATTCTGCCTTCCTTTTGAATAATTTTAAAGCAATGGGACTTTATCTTGCCTCCCAGGCCCTGCTATATTAGGAACTTTGGTGGGATTTTTGGCAGTGGCTAAGTCTGATGTTTTCCCCTCTTTATAAAATAAGAAATTATCTCTTGTCTCAGTTGGGGAAGGGGAAGTCAGAGATGATGGAACATTAGTTTTCCTGAAAGGGCCCCATCCTGAGAGTGCGGACATGTCACCCTGACTGATCTGTCACCCTGCCCAGCTCTCTATTTGGATCCAGCCTGTGCTTGCCGAGCTGTGAATCAGTCACCCAGATACAACAGCATCCAGGGAAGAGTTCAGAAATTGGAGCTCACTCTGACATTCCAGCATTATGGAGAGAAGTAGATGGGACTCGCACAAAAACAGTTTTAACCCCAACTCTGCCTTTGTCAGTTGAGCTGAGCTAGTTGTGTCCCACTCTGTGTCCCAGCTATCCCATCTAAAAAGTGAGGATAATAACACAGGCATGCTCCAAGATCTACAGATATGAACAAGATATAATTGCTGCACATATAACATGCAATACTGTTACACAGGAGTGGCACCCAGCACTGTGAAAAGAAACACACTAATTGCATTAAGAGTCATCAAGGTCCCTGCACTGGGATCTGCCATCCTGACCTGCATTTTCCCTTCATTTGCTGCAGAACTTTAAGGAGAACTTTGCTCACCTGGACCACCTGGAAGTCTGAGGCAGCCTTGTTTCTTAAGCAAGCAGCTACCTTACTTCCTTGAAGAACGATTTTAAGCAGAACATCTTGAGTTAAACCTCTGTTCTTAGGAAAAGTATCATGTACTATTAGGATAACTTTTTGTAGGTATCTTTCAGACATCAGAAATATGTGTAACACATCTTCTAGTATCTTAGATTAAGGACATAGCTGACAACATGAGAATGGGGGTTGGTTTCAGAGTGAATGTACACGAGACAACCGAGATTCACTATCGTAATTGGAACTTACCATTAGCTAGAAAGACAGTGTCACCCACGCGCGCTGGGTAACGTCATGACGGTGGTGTTGGAGGAATCAGGGCTATTAATGATACTTCACATTTACAGAGCACATTCTTCTGAAGATTTCAATAGGGATGAGATGCTTTCAGTTTTTGTGGAGACAATTTCATGGAAAAAAAAAAAACACTAAGGGTCTGGGAGAAAGTGCCTTATCCAAAGTCATACTGAAGAGAAAGTGAAAGACCTGGGAACTGAACCAAGGCATTTTAGCTCTCAGGTCTTACTGCAATCGTTAGGCAGCAAGAAAAACTCAGACTGGTTGTGATGTAAATAACTGCATAACTCACCAGTTATATCAGTGAAATTTGGTGCATTCCCTC